GAATAATAATTTTTAAAAATTCAGCTCATATTTATAATAATTAGGGGGATTTGCGTACATACTATACAAATCTTATATATTTACATATCTAATACCAAAATTTTAATATTTATTTTAATAACACCCAATATTTTAAATCACATTAAAAATACTACTAATATTATTTTTTTCTTATGTAAAATAAAATTTCTTATGGATATATTTTAAAAAGAATCATAAAATATTATATAATAAATATCAAACTTTAAAAAATATATAACCCAAAAAATTATAAGAAAACAAATTGTTGGCTAGGCTAGAAAACTCACGGTGGTAGAGTGAGAAAGTTTGCATCATAATGTTGCACGAATATTCAGCACATAATTAAATAAAAGCACTAGATATTTTTTTACGTGAAATTTTCTTAAAGAAAAAAAAACCACGGGTCTTTACCCACCTGAATAGATTCCACTGTGTATGTGAGTTACAAATATTGGTTCGTCCCTAATTCACGTATTGGAGTGGGAGGCTCCATTAGTATGGTTATTATGTCTATTGGCCATTGAACGAGCATTCATTTATGCTCATGATGGTGGGATTGTTTGTAATAGACGTTGCACCAAACTGTATGTGTGTTGAATCTTCGTATAAAATTAATACGTTAAAATTATTATTTCTCTACCACTGTAAATATTTTAGCACGCAACAAAATTGTTTATCAAAGTAAATTGCTAATGTGCATATTTATAAGAGTAATACAAGTCTGGCAATTTCAAAAATTGTGAAATTCTGTTTGGAAAAACAAAATGATCAGTTTATACGTTTAAAAGTCTGCGTTCATATTGACTTCAATGATTTCTATGAGGAATATTCGAGAGTTTATCTTTTCGCTTCTTTTTTTATCAGTCTTTGTTTTGGTATTGGACTATTTAGCATCTCTATCGTTTATGAATAATAATAAAAAATCGATACTTCTTCATAAAATAAATGGTTTGCATTGTAAAAAAAAAAAGGAACAAAAACGGGAAAGCTGCCGTTTGAAAATTCTAAAGTCTGTTCAAAAGTTTAAGATAGAAAATTTATATATTTATGTTTAAACAAGTTAATGATAATAAATATAAAATTGTAATCAATATTTGGAAAATTGACATGTCCAATTTGGGTTGAATTATGAGTTTAATCGATTAATGTAATAAATATTAAAATTAAATATTATAAAAATGATGTGATAATAATATTTTAATTCATTTATTGTGTATTGTTGTATAGTAGAATATTTCATAAATTGAAACTTTCAAATATGATATTTTGATTATTGTGACAATCCTAATTCCTAACTCGATGTCATGTAGATTATGCTAATAATAAATCATCATTACAAGATGACCTTCATTTTCATGTTGGGTTGTCTTGCCTATATGGTGTCATTTAGGGGTGTCAGTATTTGACACGACGCGACCCGAAAAATGAAGGTTCGGGTTCGCAGATTCGATCCGAAAATCCGACCCGAAAACACGGCCGTCAACGCGACCCGAAAAATCCAGGTTGGACCTGACCCGTTTGAAAAACAGGTCGGGGTTCGGGTTCGCAGATTCGACCCGTTTGAAAAAAACGGGTCGGGTTCGAGTTGACCCAGCGGGTTTCCGGGTCAACCCGAAAACCCGGTTATATTTGAATTTTCCCGCGCCTGCCCGCTGCC